TATATATATTTATTATTTATTAATTTAAATATATTTTTTTATTTTTATATTAATATATTTTATTTTTTGATTATTTTTATTATAAATAAACATATGATTTAATGTTCTAAAGTAAATTTAAGTAAATAAAGATTATATACAGTTATGTATTTTTGATAATAATTTATTATATTTATTATTTTTTATTATAAATAAGTAATATAATTAGTCTTATTTATATATATATATATATATTTAGCTTTTATTTTATATAATATGTTTATCTTTTAGATTCAAAATAACTAATATTTTTAAAAATTGATTTCGTATAATTTTTGTATTTCTTAAAAATAAAAATAAATAAATTATTAACAATATAAATGGATTATAAATATAATTATTTGAAATAATGATTAATAAATATATTGTAATGATGTAAAAAAATATGTTTAAAAATTAAAATTATAATTTATATTATGAAATAATATCTAATATCCACTAAGTAATGTAAAAAAAATTCATTATTTAATTTCCAATACTAAATATATTATTATCGTGAATACAAAATGAATAAATTTGTAAAATATATTATTTATTAAATATTTAAATAATATATTCTAAAATTTATTATAATAACATATTTAATGAAAATGAAAGAATATAAAACAAATATTTAATATAATAATATAATAAATTATTTAAAAAAATAAATTAAAATTAATATATATATATATTAATATATGTATTTATATATATTTATATATAGAATAAAATTAATGTAAATACATTTATTATAAATTAAAAATATATAAATATTTTTAAATTACCTTAAATAAAAATTGATTTTTTATTTAAATAAATAAACATTTTTATATAAAAAATGTTTATACATTAAAAAACATAATTAAAGTTAATATTAAAATTAAACTCTATTAAAATTGATTATTTTAGCAAATATGATAATAAAAAAGATTATTATAAAGTTTTAGAAATACCATATAATTCTACAGCAGACTAAATTAAAAAATAATTTTTTAGACTCGCTAAAAAATTTCATCCAGACTAAAATCCATCATCTCTTGAAAAATTTAAAGAAATAAACGAAGCATATTAAATATTAAGCGATGAATAGAAAAAATTCGAATATGATTAAGTTATTTTCTAAAAAGGCAATTTCGAGTAATAATATGAAAGATATAAGTAATAAGAATATTAATAAAATTAACAATATAATAATTATTAATAAAATTAAAAGTAATAAAAAGTTAGTGATGATAAATTTTAATATTATTGGGAAGCCTAAAATTTTTAAAATAGATAGTAGGAAAAGTAAAATTAGCAAAAATATAATTATGGAAATTAATAAAGATATTAATAAAATCATTAATACTTTTTTGATGAAAAAGAATTTAATAATTTTTTTTAAAATATATAAAGAAACTAAAGTTAAAGATATTAATAAAGTGAATAATATTATTAATAGTAATAAAAATAACAATATTATTCTAGATAAAGATATAATTCGTAAGTTTAATAAGAATAGGAAAGGCAATATTTCTAATAATAATAATAATAATAATAATAATAATAATAATAATAAAGCGATTAATTCGATTCTTATTTTGATGATTATAATTATAAAAATATTAGAAGAAACAAATTCAGTCCGGAATATATAAGAGAAATAAACAGAGAGGCTTTAAGAAGATAAAAAGAATATGAAAAATATAAAATAGAGCAAGATGTATATTCGATATTTTTTAAAAAAATATCTTATATATAGTTAATATATATATTTAATTTAATTTTTTAATAAAATAAAAAGGAATTATAATTAAAAAAAATTTAAGAAAAACTAGATAAATTCTAAGATAATATAATTGAAGTTGGTAAGAAAGTTGGAGAAGTTAAAGATAAAACTGAAAAAGTTGTAAAGGTAATCAAAAAATCTAATTTATAGTTTTTTTTTATAACTATTCTTTTATTTAAAAATCATAAAATATATATAAACTGCTTTATATTCATTTTAATTTATATTTATATTAAAATAGGATATTGGTAGCAAAATAACGTCTTTCTTCAATAAAAAATGAATGTATTTTTTTTAATTATAATAATATTTTAGTATCAAATTTATATAACTTATTTATTTAAATTAATATTAATTTAATTAATAAAAAAACTAATTCTTTTTTAGCTAATTCACAAATTATTTAATTACGTATTATAAAAAACTAGTGTTTTTAAAAAATAATTTAAAAATTAATGAATGTTATAAAAACAATATTATTTAAAATTAGTGTTGTAGAAATACAATTATTGAAAAATAAAGTTACTATTTTATTTTATAAAAATTTTAAAATATAAATTTCAAGTTTATTTTTAAGATGTAACTAAATTTTCTTATAAAAATATTAAATATTTCAATATTTTTTATACAGCTACATATTTTTTAAAGTATCTTTAAATATTTTCTATAAAAAAATATAATAATAACCTTTTTATAGTTCTTCTTAAGACGAATGAAGCAATCATATTAATAATAATAAAATAAGAAATAATAATAAATAATTCTAAAATAAAAAATAATAATATTTTCTTTTTATTAATAATATAATTAAAAAATATAAAACTATTAATTTTATAATATGTTTTATTAATATTCATTTATTATTATTAAATATATGTTATTATAACAAAACAATTATAAACGTTATAATATGATTATTTAAATAATTATTAAATTAAATATTATATTTTATATCTAATATTTTTATAATAAATTTTGATACATTTTAATAAATTTATAAAATTTTGAAAATATAAAAAATAGAAAAAAAGAATAAGTTTTAATATAATAAAAAATTAATTTTATATATAATTAAAAAAATTAATTTTTTCTAAAAAGAAAAAAAAGAATAAATAAAAAAATTATAATAAATATAATTATATATATAATAATAAAAGAAAAATAGAAAAAAAGAAAAATATTTAAAACATTATTAATAATTTTAACTATAAAAAAAATTAAAACCACACTAAAAAAAAAAAAAAAAAAAAAAAATATTCTAAAAAAAAAAAAAAAAATTAATCTAAAAATGACTACTTAAGAACCCGAACACTTTGCATTCGAAGCCGACATCTAACAATTAATGGGCTTAATAATTAACACTTTCTATACTAACAAAGAGATATTTTTACGAGAATTAATATCAAATTGCTCTGATGCATTAGACAAAATTCGCTACAAATCAATAACTGACTCCGAAAATGCCCGTCTTGACCTTGAACCGAATTTTCGTATTCGAATAATCCCTGATAAATAAAACAACACCTTAACAATTTGGGACACCGGAATCGGTATGACGAAAAAAGAACTAATCAACAACCTTGGTACAATTGCTAAATCAGGTACAAAAGCATTTATGGAAGCTCTATCTTCAGGTGCTGATATATCTATGATTGGATAATTTGGTGTAGGATTCTATTCTGCATATTTAGTAGCTGAAAAAGTCGAAGTGATTTCCAAATCAAATGAAGATGAACATTAATGGAGATGGGAATCTTCCGCTGGTGGTACTTTTGCTGTAGTTTGTGATGATTAAAACCCTGAGAAACTAACTAGAGGGACTAAGATAATTTTATATATGAAAAATGACAATTTAGAATTTTTGGAAGAACGAAGAATTAAAGATTTAATAAAAAAACATTCAGAATTTATCTCGTTCCCAATAGAACTTTATGTCGAAAAAACTGAAGAAAAGGAAATTTCTGAAGATGAGGATGAAACAGGAAAAGAAACCGAAAAAAAAGGTGATGATAATGAGCCTTAAATATAGGAAGAAAAAGATGAAAAAAAACCTAAAAAAAGAAAAAAGTAAAACAAATACACAGCGAATTTGAAGAATAAAATAAAAATAAACCTTTATGGATGAGGAAACCAGAAGAAATTAAAAAGAAGAATATGCTTCTTTCTATAAATCCCTTACAAATGACTGGGAAGATCATTTAGCTGTTAAATAATTCTCAGTAGAAGGATAATTAGAATTCAAATCTATCCTTTTTATACCCAAAAGAGCTCCTTTTGATCTTTTTGAGACTAAAAAAAGAAGAATAATATCAAATTATATGTCCGAAGAGTCTTTATAATGGACGATTGTGAAGACATAATACCCGAGTACTTAAATTTTGTACGAGGTGTGGTAGATTCTGAAGATTTACCATTGAATATTTCGCGAGAATTCCTCCAACACAATAAAATACTGAAAGTTATAAAAAAAAACATAGTAAAAAAATGCCTTGAAATGATTTAAGAAATCTCAGAAAACAATGAAGAATATAAAAAATTCTATGAATAATTTTCTAAAAACTTAAAATTAGGAATTCACGAAGATTCTGCTAATAGAGCAAAATTATCAGAATTTATAAGATTTTATTCATCTAAAAGCACTGAAGAAATGATTACATTAAAAGACTATGTGAGTAGAATGAAAGAAGGTTAAAAAGACATATATTTTATTACTGGTGAAACTAAATAAGCTGTATCTTAGTCTCCATTTGTTGAATCATTGAAAAAAAGAGGTTATGAAGTCCTTTATATGATCGATCCTATAGACGAATATGTGATTTAATAATTAAAAGAATTCGATGGAAAAAAGCTCAAGAATTGTACCAAAGAAGGCCTTGAATTAGAGTAAACTGAAGATGAAAAGAAAAAATTCGAAGAAAAAAAAGCTTCTTTTGAGCCTTTATGTAAATTAATAAAAGAAACATTAGGAGATAAAATCGAAAAGGTAACTGTTGGTTAAAGACTAGATGAATCTCCTTGTGTTTTAGTTACAGGAGAATATGGATGGTCTGCTAACATGGAAAGAATAATGAAAGCCTAAGCTTTAAGAGATGCTTCTTAGTCTACTTATATGGTTTCAAAAAAAACTATGGAAATTAATCCAGATAATGCAATTATTTAAGAACTTAAAAGTAGATCAGATAAAGATAAAGCAGATAAAACAGTCAAAGATTTGATTTGGTTGCTTTTTGATACTTCTTTATTGGTATCAGGATTTTCATTAGACGAACCTACCCATTTTGCTAATAGAATACATAGAATGATTAAGTTAGGATTATCAATTGATGATAAAATGGAATTAGAAGAAGATCCAGGACTAGTTAAAGATGCTAATAATAATAATACTGAATAATAAGGTACTAATGCTATGGAAGATGTTGATTGAATATTATATATCTATATAGTTATTTATATATACATATATATTAAGACATATTATTATTATATAACATTTGATTTATATATTGTTCTAAATAATAAAAATTTATATATTAATTAAAATATTTATATAAATATAAATATTATTTAATTTATATATTATATATTATAAATTATATATAAATATTTATATATATATATAATATTTATATATATATATAATTTTTTGTTTTAATTTTTCTAAATTATCTTATATTATTAAATTATTAAAAAATTAATTTTATTTTTTAAGAAATATACTTTTAATATTAATAAATATACCTTTATGAATTTTTTTTTAATATTATATGTTTTTTATATGTATTATCTATTAATTTTATATATATATCTTTTTTTAATATATTATTAATTTTTTTATTTTTATAATAAATAAAATAATTTTTTTTTTATTTATCAAAATTAAATAAAAAATCAAAATTATATTTAAATATATTTTTTTTTTAAATATTAAAAATTCTATGAATAACAATATAAATAAATAATTAAGTACTAAAATAAAAAAAATATTATTTTTACTAAATTAAATATTAAATATAAAATTTATTATAATATTTGATTATATAAAATCAGATATTTTATAAAATCACTATTTTCTAAAGAAAAATTATGTAAATAATCAATCAATATAAGTTTTGTATTGAAACTAATTTAATAAATAGCTTAGTTTTTTTATAATAACACTATTCTCTGTATTGTATTTAGTTTTTTTTTTTAATAAACCATTTCATAATTAATCTTATTTATTTATATCTAAAATTTCAAAAGATTATTTAAATGAATAAATATAATGAATAATTAATTAATCATAACTTAAATATTTAAAGTAATTGATTATATAATTTATATTTATTTTATTAAAAAGTAACTTTATGCAAAAATCAATTAATAGAAATATTTATTACCATTATATTTTTTTATATATTATCTAAAAAATAACACTATACATTTTGATGATTTAAATATTGTTAAAAATGGTAATTCTACCTGGTTTTTAATAAATAATAGTTATATATATATTTTTTTTTGAAATTATTGTATTATCTTAATAAATATTAAAACTTTTATAAATTATCAATATAATTCCATAAAAAATTTAAGAAGCAAATAAAAATCACATCTGTGTTAATGTTAAAGAAATTATTTAATTCACATATAAATAATATATATTCTTATCTAAAAATTAAGCCAATTATACTTAATCAAAATAAATATTATATAAGATATTTTTACTTTTAAAATTTTTTTGGGTAAATCAAGAAATAGATTGGTAAACTTATTAAAAATAATTAGCAAGTTCCCTAACACCTGATTATATAACTTAAAAATATATTTAGAATAAATACCATATGTTACTATCGCAAGAAAAACTCTATAATGGACCCTATTTAACAAATAAAACAATAAAAATTTAAGAATGAGATTTTTCAGGCTAAATTTATAAATCAATCAAGAATTATAAATACAAAAAATTATAGAAAATATTATATGCACTCGTTGAAATACTTGTAAAAAGCTTTTTTAAAGAAAGTTTATACGAAATATATGGAGTATAAATTATAAAAAATTTATATGAAAATAAAAATAATTATATTCTTTTAAAATAAATAAATATAAAAATACATAAAAATTAATAAATCTAAAAATAAATATTAAGTTATTCTCTCTTTAATATTTATAAAATATTATAATTTTATACATGTATTAATTAGATAATATATCCTCCTTCAGTGAATATTTATGTATTTTTTTAAGAAAAATTAACTATATTAATTTATCTTAATGATTTTGATAAAAAAAAAAAATAATGTCGATTTTAATTTTTTATTATATCTATATATGATATATGCACTTATAATTTGTAAAAATATAAAAAAATTAATTATTTCGTCTTAATATTTTTTTCTTTAAGATAATTATATTTCTCATTTAATAAAAAAATATATCAATATATAGAATTTATTTTAACCAATTTTTTATTAATTTTTAATATTAATAAATTATTTATAAGAGAATTTATACTTTTCATATATTTTTGAAATTAAAAATATAAATAAAAAAAACTAATAAATAATACATAAATATGTAAAAAGAGTAAAATAAATGAAACAAAAATCTTTTATCTTTTAATCTAAATAATAATTAAATTAAGAATTATAAGTCAAATATTTTTTTCTAAACTATTATTTGACTTGACTATATTGTTTTAGAATTTATTTTAGTAACACATTTATTAGTAAAACTATTAATATTATTCCCATTCATAATAATTTTAAGGATTAAAAAGTAAATATTACTATTGCTATTAATGTTAATGTTAACGAATATTATAATTATTAAAATAATTAAAATCTTATCTTATAGTATTATGATGAAATTATTAGTTTTTACAATTATCACATTTACATATATCAGTACAATTAACTCCATTTTAAAAGCATTCACAATATTTTTTTTGGCAATCACTTTTTTTACAATTGCATCCTCTATTATGCATATTAATATTATTATTTACTTCAGAAATTTCATCAATCTAAAAAAATTAGATTTAATATAAAATATATATATATATATATATATATATATATATATATATATATATATATATATATATATATATATATATATATATTACATTTTTAATAAATTTAGGTTCAAATCCTTTTTAATTTCTATCAATAATTTTTTTCATTGCCTTTACTCTATTCTATTCATATTCTGGTTTATTTTAACAATTATGACAATTGCAGCCTTCACAATATTTTTTAGCCTAAAAACATTCACAATATAATTTAAGGCATTACGTTTTTTTACAATTACAGCAGTCTTTCTTTTTTTCCGAATCCTAAAGTGATTCTTATTTACTTGAAGTATTTTCTATTTTAAATTCGCTTTAACTTTTTTTAAATTAGGTAATATTTTTATCTTTTTTTGTTGTATTTTATTCATCTAGTTTATTAACAATACGACTTCTTTTATTGCTTAAATATGATATATTTTCATAGTTTTCTATAGTATTTGTTTCTGTTATTTGTAACTCTGATGTATTTATAGATATCTTACTTTATATTATAGATTATTATTACTTTTTAAATAAAGGAGTACAAAATTATCCAATTTTTTTATGGTTTTCTTTCTCATCATCATCTTCTAAAGTTGTAGATTTTTATTATAATTTAATTTTTTCATTTTATTATGTGTTTTAATTTATTTTTTCATTTATCTCATAAAGAAACTTACAATTTTAAAATTAGAATTTTTCGCTAATTTACTAATAGACATTACTGTTTTTAAATATTTCAAGTTCTTTTCTATTATATAAATATATAAAATAATAAAAAAAAATTATAATTAATTAAAAAAAAATGCTAAAATATTTTTAAATTATAAAATAATAATATAAAATTTATTTTTACTTATCATTAAATTCTATAATAAATTTTGGTTACTAAACAATAATTCTTTTTACTTTGTCCTTTGTCTTTATTTGTTTTGATATTTAGTCAACAGCTAAATCAATCAAATTAAAATTCTGATGTATGTTATTTTAATCAAAACTATTTTATGAAATATTTCCATTTTATATTATATTATGATATTAGTATTCTTCTTTTTCTTATAATTATTATTATTATTATTATTATTATTATTATTATTATTATTATTATGTTTTTTATTATTATATTATTTCTTCATTTTAATATAGAATTTTATTTCTTAGTTTATTAGTTTTTATTTTATTTGTTATATTATATTAAATTTAAGGACTTGTTAGATTTAAATAAGTATTTATATCTTATATATTATAAGGCGAATAAATAGGAAAGAAAATATTTTTATCATTATTAGGAGTTGGTATATAAGAATTTTAAATCTCCTTTGTTAACCAAGGAGATTCATTAATATAGTTTTTATAATTTTTTTAGTTTTAGTTATCTTAAGTTTAATAATTGTCTACTTTTTAATTACGATCCTATATTTATATTTACTTTTTGATTGAATAATTAGACCTTTTATTTTAATCTATATATAATATATTTTGATTAATAATTGCTAATTACTTTTTTTTAAAAAATACCTTATTTTTTCTCAATATTTAAAGATGGTGAATTTTGTAGATTTTCTTTTTCCATTTTAATTTTTTTTTTAATTATTTTTTATTTATTTAAAAAAAAAATTCTTACTTTTTTTTTGTATTGTTTTTAAAAAAAATATTTATCAAAATAACAAATAATAACAATAAAAATTTTAAAATGTTTTTTTATAATAAAATATTTTTTTTAAAAAAACTATGTTTAATATAAAGTTATTTTTATATTTGTATTTTAATTTATTCAAATTGAAATAAAATAATTTCTATTTTCCCTCTTTTTTTATATTTGAATTAACAAAATATTTTTTTAATCATTCGAATATTATAATTTTTTAAAAATCATGTAATTAAATAAAAATTAAAAGATGGAAAATAATAATTAAATATATTATTTGTTTTAAATATTGCTTTTTCAAATAATAAAGAAAACAAAAAATAGTGGATTAATATAAGAAAATATTTAAAAAATAGAATAAACAACTAATTTATTTTCGATTTAAAGCATATGATAAAACAAATTATTTATTTTAAATATAAAGAAAATAATTTGAATTTTTTTTTTATTTTTCATAAAAGTATTTACAATACTTTGTTTTATTTTTAATTTAATTTATTTTTGCTTATATATCTATTATAAATTTTTGCTTTTTAAATTAATTTGTATTGTTTTAATAAAAAATGTCAAAAATATATAATTAAATGATTAAAATAATATAATATTTATAAACAAATAATATTAATTTCATAAAAAAAAAAATATTAGAGAGAATATGAAAACAGTATATATTAGATTAGTTTTAAAAATTATTAATTTTAGAAATTTAAATTAAAAGTTATAATAAAAAAATAAAAATGAG